GTAACAGCTAGTGATCAATTTCCATTTATTTATTGCCAGCATAGGCATGAGAAGTGGCTGAAATTTTCTCTAAATACGACTGATAAAGTAATTATTTGCTTCATTCCAAAATTCTTCCCACGCAATGTAGGTCGTATTCTATCTGGAATCCCCGTCTTTAGTATTATCATACAAAGCAATGATAATGCTCAAATGTTTGAATGAATTTAACGCTGAATTCTGAATTGTCTTTCATACTGAAGCGTATGAAATGGCCGCACTGCATCAAGCGACCGTCAGCTGAGTGACTATGACTGTCAGCTGCCAGCAATTTTAGTTAACTGACTGAATGGCAGGTTGCGTCAGAGTCGAATTTTGATTCAGACGGCGTGAACAGAGCACTTCTGCCGTGTGCGTCAAAGTTCAGTCGAGGTTCAATTGACGGTCGCTCCGATGTGAACACTCCCTTAGAATAGGACTTTTTTTATTCCGTCTGGTTGCGATATCACAGAACCGGGTTTTGCAATGGTTGCAGGATCGGCATTCTGGCGCGGGACTATCGGGACATGTGCCGCGGCAGCCCGGAGCCTAATGGCGTGGCAGCGCTGAGCGCGAAGCTGCTCGAATGCGCCGGTTACAGAGTGTTGTGCGTCCCTCACACGAAGTACAATCCTCGAGAGAAGTTGCTGCAGAGGGTGCAGTATCTAGATCAACATTTGAAATCGCTAGTCAGAGGTCCGTAGGTGCTGCTGACACGATAGTTTATGCACAGTGATAATTAGAAGTTACCGACACGTCGTCAACACACGGCTGATTTTAATAGAGCGTGAGTTCTATCCTGCTCTGTGCGTTTGTGCGCTGTTCTGCGTTGAGACGTGATCTCACGAGGTAAGATTCTGCTTTAAGCAAATGTGCTTGCGAGGTAACTGGTAAGAGCGTGTGTGAGTGTGTGTGATGTTTATGAGTCCATTGTAAATAACTGAGAAAAACGACGCTCGGAAAATAACGAATGATGTGAATCGTGTTACAAGAATTTGTTCTCATATTTTGGATGTGCCAGTGATTTCCAGATGATCATCTTGGGGTTCTGTGAGGGATCCCAGTCGTACATGGATGCTTTCTTCTTCTTCTTCTTCTTCTAACTACTGATTTAAAGCGATTGCCAGTTTATGAGTCACTGCAATTGCTGAGGACGAGAAAATTGTTTAAACTGTGCGTGAAAGTAAGAAATCCTGATGATCCCAAGTGGAAAGTCTGCCTTACTGGCGCAAATGATGATTTAAGCCGAGCGCTGCCAAACTAGAGGCACTAGACTTACGCAAAACATGTAACAGCTGTGTGTTGAAGACGTGCACTAAGGGTGCATTAGAGCACTGCTTTTGTATGTAAATGTCTCTTGCAGATACAAGTAATACAGTTTGAAGTAATTAATCTTTGGGGGTGGCTGTCTTCTGGGTTGTTGCGCCGTGTAGTCCGGGAGAATCCTGCGTAGGATTTGAGGTTTGTAGCCAGTGACTCAGAGTTTGTAGGAGTCTGGTGGATATTAACTGATGTTTCAGCCTCAATCATCCTCCCACCATTGTCCCACACATTCCATCACCACCACCCCACGAGGTTTGCAACAGTCCTGACCAAGCAGCGCATCATCACGCCCCCAGTCCTCAGTTTCACCTCTGACCGAGTGCTTGGCTGGACTCGGAGTGGAGGTAGTTTTGTTTAGTTATTAGCTTTGCAAAACAAAATTGTGTGTGCAATTTTGGTTCTCTGTGCAAAGATAAAGGCACGCATCAAAATCGCATCACCTTGGTACGGGGGATCAGTTCCGACACTCTTTGAATCATTTGCGGAGTTCTTGATGTTCTGGGACGACCACTGCTGGATCCCTTTTCCACTGTTTCGTTGTCACACGTGCTCCCACACCCGCCCTATTCCCCCGACCTGGCACCAAGTGACTGTGCCCTCTTCCGTGGTCACCGATTCCCCGATAGTGACGCCTTACATGACACGAGACACCCCCAGACAATGGTTCCGTGAGACAATACGGAAATTGACAGAGCCCTCCAGGGAGAATATGTGGAACGGCCCGAAGTGTAACCTGGGAGCCACCACCATCAAGGATCACGTAATTCAGGTTAGTCTAGATCATTTGTATACGCCCCTCGTACATACAATAAACCAATTTCGTCGTAAATAAAGGGACGTATTATAACCGTGTAAACACAAAAGATGTCCGTCTTCAGAATAATATTCGCCCCTTCCAATGATCCGCGATTATTGAAAGTCACGAAACGCCCAGAATACGAAGGACCGTCGTTTCCTCGATACTGTAAACGTCGTATTTGCACTAATTTCGAGTCGTGTGAAAATTTTGCTACGGCAACCTGTGCAACAGCCTCTGGAGGAAAAACCCAGGAATTTAGGAGAAAGAGGCGTTATCGATGTCGTCGGCGCATGTGCTCTTCGATGTCGAAGTCACAAGCCGCCATTCTAAATCGAGTGCCTCTCCGTACAGACACTTCATTACGCCCACTATAACGAGTTGCGTTTTCGTTTCGCGAATTTTACTTTTATTGCGTGACTGGAATATTTGTTTTCGCGGAGGATTACAGCAACATCACTCGAAACGTCTAGGGGTTTCTCCTAACCTAGTTTTTTCAACAAGGTGTCAATATTTAGTGCATTCTCCGACCCAGGCACGACGTCACATCGATACTAATTTTCGCTTTATCTGAATTGTTTACGAAGCAGCCACAGGCAGAGCGCGGAAGGAGGAGGTTTCTGGCCCCACGGTTCATCAGCTGCTTCCAAAATCCCTAAAATGGTAAGTAACCACTTTCATGAAGCATGGAATGAACGACCAAACGTGTGTGAGCATTTGTTGCTTCTTTGTCGAGTATTAAGCAGTTATTTAGGGAAACTCGTAGTTTCCATCACAAGTGGGGGAACGTCCCGTTGCGAACAACGGGCCATAACAATTTCAGTACTCGTCAAATATGATTCCAGGAAACGTCACCTCAGATCCTAAACTTATAAATGCAACTCAGTAAAGTAATATTTATAGTCTTGGAGCCCGCAATCTGCGGCCCGCGTACATTTTTGTAATA